GGCCAAGTTAAGTAAACAAAAAGGTTACATGTGTGAACTTACAGGGTTAGGGAGGCACTTTAGCAAGCCTATAAAACACAGAGATTACACTTTGACAGTTACCCACTAACGGAGTGGGGTCATTTGGTCTTCACCACCAGACACCGAGGCATCCTTGATCTATTTATGGCAAGGCAGTGAGGCGGGATGGTAAGTCTTGTTTTTCTAAGTACAAAACATATTCCATTTTACTTCAGTTGTGCCCACCCTGATGCCTTCCAAAGGTTTTGGATTTCAGCTGCCTTCAGCCTCAGTCAAGGGATGCTGGGAGTTACAGTCCAACCCTCCTGGAGTGTCTCAGTGCATGAACCAGAATTTGGGGAGATGCATTACTTGGAATATTCTGCCCCCCTCTCATTTTCTTTCTTTTGCAAAGCTAAAAGCAGTTGAGAGTGGGGATTGGATTGGATTGGATAGTACTGTCTGGGGCAGAGGGGTAGGAGGGGATTCAGACCTTTCCCGTACACATCCTATCTCCCACCTTGTCAGTGTGATTAGTTTGCAAAGAGGAGATTTTGATTAGTAAAACATGGTGGTGAGGGGAAGAAGTTTGAACTCTTTCTTCAATATTACTCCCCATATTCAGTTTATCTCACCTTTGCCCTCCATGTTTGCTTTTAAAAAATGCTGGAAACCCAATCATTTGTCAGGGTTGTAGGGAAGTCAGATGCTTTTGGCTCAGATGCTGGGACCTAAGGGGGTGAAACCTGGCAGACAGAGGTAAAGCTTGGTGGGATGGAGAAGCTGGTGGTGCCTGACAGATGCAGGCAACGGCATCTGATACACCAGGGCAAGGGCCCCTCAGGGTAAAACTGCATGGAGAGCTGGGTGAGGGTGGGGACAGGAACTGGGAGAAGATGAGAGGGAATCGCAGAAACTCTTAAGCACAGATGTAGAACCTCAGGCCAAATCCAGCCCTCTGAGGTTTTCTAGCTTGCCATGCCCCAGCCCTTACCCACTGTGAGATCCAGCAGGGTGTAGTGGTTGGAGTGTTGGACTGAAACTCAGGAGATCTGGGTGCCAGTTCCCACTTGGCCATGAAATTCACTGGGTAGCATAGGGCCAATCCCCAGCTCTTAGCCTGAGGAAGTTCATAGGGTTGTTGTGAGGATAAAAAGGGGGAGAAGGAGCATGATCATGTAGCCTTGTGTTTTTGCAAGAGCAAAAGTGGTGGGTTATAACTGTAATAACCAGTTCCACTTCAAGGTTGATGGTTTGATGAATTCCTGGATTTTGCATGGCCCTCCACTCCCCCAGTTCTGAGCAGATGAAGAATCTTTCCTAAGGCTTAGTTTCTGGCAGTAGCAACTGCAAGTTTAAAAACATGCTAACATTTTTGGTATTTTGGCCCTGCCCCCTTACCACCATCCTATTTTGCCTTTGGCCATGCCAATCAGGGGATGCAGTCCTCCATTCTCACAAAATCAGACATCCTAAGGTTGTAGAGAGTTTAGCCCAGTTTCAAACCATGAAGACACATGTAACCACTCCTTGGCTATACTAGGAAAGAGGCTTAAGCACTCAGTTCAAACCTTCAAGCTTGCCAAAAGTGGGAGCCAAAAACACCTGGGTGTCTATGTTTTCATGGAATGGTCCTGAATCCATCTGAGCTTCTATTTATTTATTTAAAACATTTGTATGCCGCCCAATTGTGCCACAGCTCCTCTGGGTGGCTCACAGTCATCAGACAAAATACAATAAAAAACTAATTACAACATTTAAAATACAATGTTAATAAAATACAGATAAAAATACAAAACAGAAGGTATGTGCGGAATCTTCTGGCAGGCTCCACTTCTACTGTCTTTAGAGTCTGGGCTCAGAGGCTGAGCAACAAAAAGGATTAATGATTGAACTGTCCATTGGTGTAAAGGTATACCCATTTTCCAGTTAGGGAAAAGTAAAACTTTTTAGACAAAAGTCATTAGTTGCAGAAAAACTGGAAAATTTTGTTAATCCCACTCATGCGGTTCTTCTTGATGGCTCAACTTCCAGTCTTCTCCATTCAATTTCCAAGAACTTGCACTTGTCCAGGGATGCAAGATTTGTGAACCCTGACCCTAACCTGAGTTTTTCACTCCAATTATTCTATCCTATTAGCATGCATGTTCCTGTATGCAAATACAGAGCATTCTTTGCAGTGGTTCTTCCTGATAGCTCAACTTCCCAGCCCTTGCTGTATGAGTAAATTTGCAGCCCCATAACTGTGTTTATGTATGCAAGATTTCTGAATGCTTCCCCAAAAAGAAAAAGTCCTACAGCTATGAATATTCCACAGCCAGCTACACTTATAGGGGATACTGGGAGTTGTAGGACTGTAGGCACTAAGATTGTGCCTAAGAGACCTGTAGCATATTAAAGACTCCTAGTGTATTTGTGGCAATAGGCTCTTCTGTACTAGAGGCCATTTCATCGAATGCAAGGAGTAAAAGAAAGCAAAAATCCTCACACAAGATGGTTCGTTCTTCTTTGCAACTACTGTCATTTTTATTTGTATAATGCTTATTCGTATTTTATTTATTGCACAACATTAGGAGAAACTAATCTAGCTCGCACGTATACGACATTGTTGAGAAACTTGGTTAGATATATTATTTTTCTATCCGTGGATCTTTAAAACTTGAGCATCTGTTTAGGCAAGGAGGCGAGGCGGACACCACGGAAAGGCAGTTCGCACTTTTCCACGCTTCGCCCCTATATCTAGAACCTATTGTTGGTCAAAGGGCTGGCGTCCTTTGGTTCCCTAGTGCAAAGCTGCATGATTCCGTTTGGTGCAATGCTTCGACGTCTGCACAATTTATAATCAGCCATCAAGGTTTCCTCTTTCCCCCACTTCTGTTTCCACAGCTACAGAGGGAAGAAAGTTATTTGGGGGTGTTTTTATTTCAAATCATTGGAAGAAAATGGAGTCTGTCACCGAAATCTGTGTGTCACCTATTTCAACTGCTACAGTCTTGCGTACTCTTTCCCCTTTTGTCCCGCACATGGACGAGTTTGATATGAACCGGAAGCGAACAATCGTGGGATAGTGGTTTGTTTATCTCTTTGTTGCCGATTTGGCGGCAGGAAATGACATAAAGTTTAGAACCCCCCCCCCCCCCATTCTTCATTCATGGATGCTTGAATGGTTCCTGGGTGGGATGAAGTTGTTGAGTTGGAACGTGAACGGGTTGCGGGCTGCGGTGGTCTCTGGTGGGCTGAAGCAGCTGTTGGATTTGTTGGGAGCGGACATCATCTGTTTACAGGAGACCAAGATTACCCGTGAGTAATGGGAAGCAAAAGTAACACGTGCATAAATGTGGAGCAGGGCTGACCCTGGTGCTGGTTTTAGGACGCAAAGCCAGGTTAAGAGGCGCTCTATTCCCCCTGAAGAATGTATAAAAGTTTATTTTGGCTTTTGCGAGGCAGCACTGACTAAAATTAAGCAGCCGATTTGGTATAACAAAAATGCAAGAGGTCGGGGGGTTGACGCTAGCCATAAATGTTTTAAAGGTTTACACCTGTCCGACTTTTAAAAAGTTCTACTTCTTTTCATATCATCCCTTAGTATATCAAGCTTGAGGAAGAGTTCTGGAACACCTCAAAGCTTGCACGGGCTTAGTTGGTCCTAATATAAATAACGTTGAGCTGTGAATTGTGGTCCTTCAATTACTGTTAGACTCCAAGTCCTGTCTGCACTAGCCAGCATGCCTAAAGGTCAGGAATTATGGGAGAGCTAAAATTTCCTAGACATAGACTACAGATTCAATCTTTGGACCAAAATCAATGAATTAGCTCCCAACAATACTGAGAACTCCTTCATGGATCACTGCCCTGTTGTGGCGAAGGGGCTTGCATAGTTCAATGAAGCTATGAGCTATGCCATGCAGGGCCACCCAAGACGGGCAGGTCATAGCAGAGAGCTCCGACAAAACGTGATCCACTGGAGAAGGAAATGGCAACCCACTCCAGTTTCCTTGCCATGAAAACCCCATGGACAGTACCAAAAGGCAAAAAGATATGATGCCGGAAGATGAGCCCCTCAGGTCGGAAGGTGTCCAATATGCTACTGGGGAAGAGCGGAGGGCTAGTACTAGTAGCGCCAGAAAGAATGAAGCGACTGGGTCAAAGCCGAAAGGACACTCAGTTGCAGATGTATCTGGTGGTGAAAGGAGAGTCCGATGCTGCAAAGATCTATACTCCATAGGAACCTGGAATGTAAGATCCATGAATCAAGGCAAGCTGGACGTGGTCAAACAAGGCTGAAAATCAACATCTTAGAAATCAGTGAACTAAAATGGACAGGAATGCGTGAATTTAATTCAGATACTACTACTACTGTGGGCAAGAATCCCTCAGAAGAAATGGAGTGGCCTTCATAGTCAATAAAAGAGTAGGAAAAGCAGTACTGGGATACAATCTCCAAAATGACAGAAAGATCTCAGTTCAAATCCAAGGAAAACCCCTTCAACATCACAATAGTCCAAGTCTATGCCTCAACCACTGGTGCTGAAGAGGCTGAAGTTGACCGGTTCTGTGAAGGCCTACAACACCTTCTGGAATTAATACCAAAAAATGATGTCCTTATCATCATGGGGGATTGGAATGCTAAAGTAGGAAGCCAAAAGATAACCAGAATAACAGGCAAGTTTGGATTTGGAATACAAAATGAAGCAGGACACAGGCTGGTAGAATTTTGCCAAGAGAATACGATGGTCATAGCAAACACTCTTTTCCAACAACCCAAGAGACGACTCTACACATGGACATCACCAGACGGTCAACACAGAAATCAGATTGACTATGTGCTCTGCAGTCAAAGATGGCAAAGCTCTATACAGTCAGTAAAAACTAGACCAGGAGCTGACTGTGGCTCAGATCATGAGCTTCTTGTTGCAAAATTGAGGCTTAAATTGAAGAAAGTTGGGAAAAGCACTTGGCCACTCAGGTATGACCTAAATCATATCCCTGATGAATATACAGTAGAGGTGACAAATAGATTTAAGGAATTGGATCTGATAGAGTACCTGAAGAACTATGGATGGAGGTTTGCAACATTGTACAAGAGGTAGCAACTAAAACCATCCCAAAGAAAAAGAAATGCAAGAAAGCAAAATGGCTGTCTGAGGAAGCTTTACAAATACCTGTGGAAAGAAGGGAAGCGAAAGGCAAGGGAGAAAGAGAAAGATACACCCAATTGAATACAGAATTCCAGAGAATAGCTAGAAGAGATAAGAATGCCTTCTTAAATGAACAGTGCAAAGAAATAGAGGAAAACAATAGAATAGGGAGGACCAGAGATCTCTTCAGGAAAATTGGAGATATGAAGGGAGCATTTCATGCAAAGATGGGCATGATAAAGGACCAAAATGGCAGGGACCTAACAGAGGCAGAAGAGATTAAGAAGAGGTGGCAAGATTACACAGAAGAACTATGCAAGAAAGAGCTTACCGTCCCTGATAACCACAGTGGGGTGGTCACTGAACCTTGTGCCAGACATCCTGGAATGTGAAGTCAAATGGGTCTTAGGAAGTCTGAGCAACAACAAAGCTAGTGGAGGTGACAGTATTCCAGCTGAGCTATCGAAAATCTTAAAAGACGATGCAGTAAAAGTGCTACACTCAATATGCCAGCAAATTTGGAAAACTCAACAGTGGCCGCAGGATTGGAAAAGGTCAGTTTGCATTCCCATCCCAAAGAAGGGCAATGCCAAAGAATGTTCAGACTACTGCACCATTGCACTCATTTCACATGCTAGCAAAGTGATGCCCAAAATCCTACAAGCTAGGCTCCAGCAGTATGTGGACCGAGAACTATCAGAAGTACAGGCAGGATTTCAGAGAGGCAGAGGAACTAGACATCAAATTGCCAACATACGCTGGATCATGGAGAAAGCTAGGGAGTTCCAGAAAAACATCTTCTGCTTCATTGACTATGCTAACGTCTTTGATTGTGTGGATCACAACAAATTGTGGCAAGTTCTTAAAGAGATGGGAGTACCAGACCATATTATTTATCTCTTGAGAAACCTATATGTGGGTCAAGAAGCAACAGTGAGAACTGGACACAGAACCACTGGTTGGTTCAAAACTGAGAAAGGAGTTCGGCAAGGCTGTATACTGTCGCCCTGCCTATTTAACTTCTATGCAGAGCACATCATGAGAAAGGTGGGGCTAGACGAATCACCAGTTGGAATTAAGACTGCCTGGAGAAATATCAACAACCTCAGATATGCAGATGATACCACTCTAATGGCAGAAAGTGAAGAGGAACTAAAGAGCCTCTTGATGCGGGTGAAGGAGGAGAGCGCAAAAGTTGGCTTGAAACTCAACATTAAGAAAACTAAGATCACGGGATCAGGCCTATCACTTTCTGGCAAATAGATAGGGAAGAAATGGAGGCAGTGACAGATTTTATTTTCCTGGGCTACAAGATCACCGCAGACGGGGACTGCATCCAAGAAATTAAAGGATGCTTGCTCCTGGGGAGGAAAGCTATGGCAAATCTAGATAGCATACTAAAAAGCAGAGACATCACCCTGCCAACAAAAGTGTGTATAGTCAAGGCTATGGTTTTCCCAGTTGCAATGTATGGCTGTGAAAGCTGGACCATAAGGAAGGCTGAACGCCGAAGGATTGAGGCCTTTGAATTGTGGTGCTGGAGGAGACTCCTGCGAGTCCCCTGGACTGCAAGGCGATCAAACCAGTCAGTCCTAGAGGAGATCAACCCTGACTGCTCTTTAGAAGGCCAGATATTGAAGATGAAACTCAAATACTTTGGCCACCTAATGAGAAGGAAGGACTCCATGGAGAAGAGCCTAATGCTGAGAACAATAGATGGCAAAAGAAGAAGGGGACGGCGGAGAATGAGGTGGCTAGATGGAGTCACTGAAGCAGTTGGTGTGAGTTTGTGTGGACTCCAGGGGATGGTGGAAGACAGGAAGACCTGGAGGAATGTTGTCCATGGGGTCGCGATGGGTCGGACATAACTTCGCTACTAACAACAACAGTAATACTGAGAAAATTGGGAAGACCAAGAGCAGAGCAAAATAAAAATAGCAGTCCATATGCCTGAACAATATCTCTTCTCTGTTGGCATAGAGAATTTATTTAACTATCATGATTCATATCTGTGAGAGTTGTCTCTTCTGGAAGCACTTAAATCCATTAACTGTATTCTTCCTTAGCCTGGATGTAACAGAAATGTTACATTTCTGAGCAGGAATCAGAAAAGAACAATTCTTTCTTATCTGCCATCTTTTAAAAATCTTTCTGGTGGAAATATTAAAATATTGGTAGGCTTCTACAGATTTAATGCAAAAGTTATCATGTTGTTCAAAGGCAAAACTTGGTTTTGGCTTTTCTTTAACCTATCTTTCAGTACTGCATTTCTTAGCCATGCAAACTGCCTTTGCAGTGCAGATCTGCCTTGGAATTAGAAGGCAAAATGGCAACAGAAGTTCCAGCAAACTCTACCCAATTATTATAAATTGATTTATTTTCTACCATTGGTAGATTGTTGGGATTTTACTCTCCAGACATTTCAGACTTCCCTCAGCCCAAACCAGTGCAGCCAGTATTATGGAATTAAGGGAATTATGCTCCAATACACTTGGAAGCACCTGTTTCCCTACCCCTTCTTTGACAAATACCTGCTTTCTCTAACAAATATCCTTTGCATATTGTTGTTACCGAACTCACCCAGTCAACAGCTAGGGCAAACCCAGGTGGACCCCAGACCCGAGTCAAAAGGAGCCTGAGACGAGACTTAGAACCAAAACCAGCTTTATTCTAGTGTACTATAGAATAAAGGGAGACAAAAGGGGACATTCAGCCCAAGGCAGTGTCTCAAAAGTTGCACCCCGGTACATGCATTTAATCCCCTAGGTAACCAATTAGGTCACCTAATACACTTCTAATGCATCAATACTTCATTGTAGCCACACCCCCAGTGCTGTTAGCTTCAAAGAGTCTTTTCTTCTGTCAGGACCAGACAGTTCCCATGTCTATTTCTTATCTGCTCGAGATTCACACAGGCTTGCCATGTTCTTACTCCCTGCACATTTGCAACTTTCATGGCAGCTAGAACCAGTTTCCACTGTCCCTTTGATTACTGTAGGCGAGGTCAGGCTAGCGTGTTAGCTGTGGGTTACACAAAGTTCATTTTGTTCTTATCTGCCCTCCCTTCTGGGACAGTATAACTGTGGTGTTTTTACTATGTGGCCTTCCTCTGGCCAATTACTTTTGGGGTGTTTTGGGATGCTGCAATTGGCAACATTATGAACTTCTTTTCCCATTAATCCCTGCTAGTGTGGCTGATGGTCAGGAATGCTGGCACATAGATAGGCTGGGGTTTTTAACCATTTCTGTCCACCACCTCCATAACCTGGCAAAACAAACCCATGTTTTGGGGTTTGTGCATGAAAACCCAAAGTTAACAACCTAACAACAAACCATGGATTCCTTTCTTGGGTTGTTGTGATTAGCAACTCAAAGTTAACGCATAGTTAGATTCACCCACAACTGTAAACAAGGATTCAACAGTCCATATTCTAGTTTGCAATTAAGTAGGAATCTGGTCAAAAAGTGATCTTTCACAGTATTGGTACTTTGCAAATGACACCCTACTCTGCTTTATACTTAGATTTTTGAGCAAGTTACTATTTTTTTAGTTTTCCCAGTTTGGCTTTTGGAAAATAGCTGTCTAGCATGGCAGCTTCTTTATGGAAAGGGCTCCCTTTGTGGCAGCCCTGCTGTGAGCCACCACGACACTGCCAAATTCCAAATGTGCCCACCCACTCAAACAGAATAAGCTAGATGCAATGCCAGTTGACAACATAGTGGATGAATCTAGGTTTCTTTTGCGTGGTAAAAAAACCCCAACTGCTGTGCTTTAAAGAGAAATGGAGGGGGCTTGTAGCTATGTCTCTACCCTGATTATTTTCCAAATTTCTGCTTTGTTCATAGGGGACCTGCTGGAAGAGCCATTGGCTATAGTGGAGGGCTATAACTCTTACTTCAGCTTCAGTCGCACCCGCAGTGGTTATTCAGGTAATGGAGTGCTTTTATCAAGGGAGTCTGGCAAGCCCGGCCCACCAGCTTCTCAGCTGATCCCTGTAACTGTACCTTGATCAGTGTCATTGTCTGCAACAGGGATCAAAAAATGGTTGGCTCCATGCCTCAGGAATGCCTTTTCCTCATTCCTGCAGATCAAGCTTCTCTTCAGAGCTTCTGTGTCTGAAAGGCCAGCAGTTGTTCTGTGTATCTCCTCACCTCTGTCTTCATTTGAGATCTTAACAAAAGGCCTTTTCCCTAGTTCCAGAGCCAGGGCCCCTTTCTCACAACCACTTGTCCCCCAGGTGTTGCTACTTTCTGTAAGGCCGATGCCACCCCAGAGGCAGCTGAGGAGGGTCTGTCTGGGCTGTTCACCAAGCATGATGGAGCTGTCGGTTGCTACGGAAACACAGACAACTTCACACTCGAGGAGCTGCAGGCCCTGGACAGTGAGGGCCGGGCCATGATCACTCGCCACTGCATTTGGTAAGGACAGGATTTGGGGAGGGAGAGAGGATGCCGCAAAAAGGGTCTGTGGCTGACACAGCATAGAGCAGGTGGGCACATATAGTGTTGTAGGTCCTTTCACAAAATGGCTGCCATGCAAGTGGGCTTGCCTGTTCATAAAAATGGCTGCCGTAGCCAGTCACTTCTCAGAAGACAAATTGGTGAAGCTGGATAAAAAATAACTAGCCCAAGAGCCTATGTATGAGGCAGAAGTAGAATTTGAGCTGCAAAACACAAAACTGTTCCTTTGAACCCAAATAAAGATGGAGCAGGATGCTGGTGCACTGCTTTGCTGCAAGCCAGATTTACAGTGTAAAAAAGAGTGTTAAAATTCCTTAGCGTAAAATAAAATATGAGAAGGTAAGGAGCTTGGTAGTCTTAAGAGAAGTGGTTGTGGGTATAGTGAGACCCATGGGTATCATGCAAGGAAACCCCAGGCATAAAAATTAGCAGTATACTTGTAAACATATTGACTTGCAGATTGCTCCCACTGTTTTCAGTGAGTTTTACTCCCAAGCTAGTCTGCACAGGGTTATAGTCTTACAGTGTTAAATCCCTGAATTTAATGTAACCTCAGCCAAACAGTGACTAGGTGTACTTCAACAAGCCCCTCACTCTCAGCTTTCCCATTTGTAATCAGAGCTAAAATTATTGAACTTATTTCAGAGCAGCTGAGAGAACTTCCTTGCAAAGCTTCCTTGCAAAAATTTAGGGAATTTGCTGCTGCATGATGTATTGAGAACTGTTAGTTTCATGTCCTCTTCGTAGGCTTCCTTGTGGCATCAAGCTGTGTATTGTTGGGAGCATTTAATGATTACACCTGCCTTCCTCTGCCTGGAAAAATCTCTGGGAGCAAGGAAAAAAGAAGCTCTCTTTACTGCTGTGAGCAGACTCCCTTGTCCTTATCTAACATCAGTGAGTGGGATTTCCTCTTATCCCACCAGAGAAAGGCAGGGCTAAACGCAGGACCTCTGCAAGCTCCTCATCTCTTGCCTAGCAGGACCTTGAGACTTGATAACCAAAGCTTCCTTGTGTGTGTGTGCTTGTCCTTTCACTGCAGCACCTCAGAACAGCGGGAGACCACTCTGACAGTCATCAATGTGTATTGCCCGCGTGCTGACCCGGAAAAGCCCGAACGTGGGGACTTTAAGTTGCGGTTCTTTCACCTTCTGCAGGCTCGGGCGGAGGCTCTCCTTAGAGCTGGAGGGTAGGTGCTGCTTATTTTTAATCTGACATACACCCCAGTGAACTCAATAGGGTCTTAATCCCTATTAAGTGTGCTTTTAACATTGCAAGGTAAATAGCCAAACAGTGAATCTCCTCATTTTTGCCTTAAATGAAGCAGCCTCCCACACCCCTCCTCTCCACTGTACCCTGGTCTCCAGAGTGGAGAGAATCCTGTCAGTTTACAGGGTTGTAAGAATGACTGGAAATGGCTGTGAAAAGGCTTGGGAATGCTAAAGAGTGCTGTATAGATGCTGTTTCTTTAATGTTCATGTTTAACTGTAAATTGTTTCATCATTGCATTTTTAAAACATTATCCAGACTTTCATCTCTTTCCTGTCCAAGCCAACATCCTTCTCCCTGGTTAAAAAATAATGAACAAATGGATTGTACTTTAGAAATCCTGATCATTCCTAGCCTCTCCTGGAACACATGCATCGTGCTTTGTGACAGTGTTGCATTACAAATTACTCAGGGCTTTAACCTCCTGGCTCTTCACTGCTCTCCTAATCTCAAAGGGTTAGGAGCTTGCTGGACCATGAATGCTATCAAAAAATCCAGCTGTCCCGCTTGTTGGAGAAATCATCAGTGCCCCCCTGAGCCACTATGTGAGAGTTGGTGGCTTCGTGGGATCTAGTAAAGAGAGCAAACTGCCAAACAGATGGTCCTGCACACCATCCCTGGACTATGAAGCTGCCAAGATTTAGTTTCAAAAACACCTCACCTCTGGATGGGCAGCCACAAGTGAAACCAGAATCAGTTGTTGCTCACCAGCAACCAAAGCCTCCTGGACTTAGGATGCAAGCAGGTTCAGTAGAGAGAGGGAAAAAGATGTCGTTTAACTTCCACCCTTATGCAAAATACCTGGCTCGTTTGTTAGCAATCTGATCCTGAAGCGAAATCAGAGATGAGTGTGGATTCTTCCAACCTGATGGGGGCTTAAAGGCTGAGCCCACCCCTTGGATGAATCTTGGGACATTCTGGGGCCAGATGCAGTCTGCAAACCAGAGATTCTTCATTTCTGTTGGCTTGTAGAAGCTGATCAAGACCACCCCCCTTTGGGCATTTGAGCCCCAGGGCAACAATTGCTAATCAGAGTGCATAGCACTAAGCTTTAGGGACTGAAGGTGTAATTTGATTTGAGCCAGCAGTCCATCTATTTTCTTGTGCAAGGATGGGGAGTGTGTGGCACAATGATGTTACTGGACTGCACCTCCCTTCAGGCCACGTGATTGGCTGTGCTGGCTGAAGCTGGTGGGAGTTGAAGCCCAACAGCATCTGGAATTCTGCATATTCCCCACTCCTGTATTCATGTAGGCCAGGATTACAACTGGGGTTAAATTTTCCTCTTGTGCTGCTGCTGAAATGTTAGAAGTCGCTTTCAGTTTTCTGGGGCACTGAGGCTGCTGTCTGCTTATTCGTTTTGGAGTAATGCAGATGTCCTCTTTTTCTTGTAGCCATGTGGTTATCCTGGGAGACATCAACACTGCGCACAAGCCCATTGACCATTGTGACCCTGGAGAGCTGGTGAGCTGGCCATTCATTGTTGCTCAGCCCTCTTTAGCCCATACTTAATGAGACGTGGAAACATAGATAGATTTCCCACCATCACCACCCATGCATGTTGTAGGGCACATGAATCTTGCATTGTGAATGTCCAGTTTCATGTTCATGGACAACATGTGATTGGGGTTTAAAAAAAACTAGCAAGGGAAGCTAAGCTGTTTGGAGCAATTAGATAAGTTCCTCCACCACCCCACCTCACTACAAGGAAAATTAGCAGAGATGGAAGGACAAAACAATGGGTTTAAGAAATAACATGTGAGATTTCAGCTGGGACTTAGTTTCTTCTTTCCATTGAAGGTCCGGCTCGTATCTCTGCAGGGCTGGCTGGAAAATTCCAAATTTGATGGAAAAAGAAATTCAGTTATGCCACCTAAATAAAACATACATACCTCTATGTACTCATTTGGTTCAGTACAACCTGGAATGATCAATTTAACTTTGTTGATAACATGAAATTTATGGAGCCATTTGTTGTCAGGGCTGTATTTTTTAATTTAGTAACTTGCCTTGAGTTATGTTTATCATAGAAAGGCTGGACTTCAGCCTTTATAAATACATAAAAAATAAGTAAGAAGCACATCAGGCAGAACCCAGTAGGGTACCAGAACATGGACATGCTTCTCCTTGGAAACTGAGCTTCCAGTGAGAAACACGGTGAGGAAGGTCAGAGTTGTTTCATTTGTTTCCTTTCCTTTCATTTCATAGCTAACAGAATCAGAATGAATCATCCCAGCTCTCCTCTGGGTATGGGATTTTCTTGTTGATAACATGCATCGGGTTGCTGTTGTTATGTGCAGTCAGGTTGTCTCTGACATATGGCAACCTGAAGAATAGGCAACCTTCAAAATGTCCCCTCCTTGACAGCCTTGCCTAGTTCTTATAAACTCCAGGCTGTAGTATCCACCTGTGAATCTGATTTGAAAGCAGCAATTAAAAAACCCCATAGCTTTCTTGAGATGCTGCTCAGTTCAGTGTTCATTATCAAATCCTGTAACTGTAGGTGTATCTTTGCATATCTGTGGAAATATGGAATACAAAGAACTGGTATTCTAATACATCTTAAGAGACTGAGCTGCGAAACTAGACACTTCCAGTAAGAGTATTGCCTCTTTTATGGTCTCATTAGGTGGCCTTAGGATAAGCTTTTCTTATACCTGCAATTTTTGGGCTAATACTAATCTGACTTGTGAGATTTTGTTATGGTTACAACTAGGTAAAGAAAATGAAGCTCACTGAACACTCAAGGGCATATTATCTTGACCTGCCAGCAGATCTTTAATGCAGAGATGGAGAACCTCTGCCCAGAGGGCCAGATTCAGCTCTTCTGGTGTTCTAGTCTAGACCTCTTGGGTTTCCTGAGCAGCCACGCCCCATACACCATTCCTCCAACCATTGATCAATGGTTCCATGTAGCTCACTTCCATGTAGCCTGAAGTGCCTGACCCTGCCCAAACTTGGAAGCTAAGCAAGGTCAGGCCTGGTTGAAATTGGATGTAATACTGTAAACCACCCAGAGTGCTTCAGCTATGGGACGGTATAGAAACGTAATACTACTACTATTAGTAACCACCACCACCATGTGGTGCTTTCCCAGCTTTGTGCAGGGAAAGGCTTTTGGAACGTGGTGATGCCTCTCCCAAGGCTTCCTTGTCAGAATTAAGAGATGTAAAGCGAAAGCCTGCTGGTGTTTCAGCTGTCCCACCCACCACTTCATGCAGCCCTCCTACCCCTCCTCTGAAATTTGATTCTCAGGCTAAAGAGGTTTGATTCTTTCTCTTTAATGTTTGCATCATCTTGTGCAGGAGTCTTTTCAGAAAAATCCGGGGCGCCTTTGGCTGGACAGTTTTCTCTGGGAGCCAGGCAAGGATTTCCAGAACAAGAAGCTCTTTGTTGATACATTTCGCTTTCTACACCCCAATCAGGAAGAGGCTTACACTTGCTGGTGCAATGTCACGGGGTCCCGACACCTCAACTATGGCACGCGGATTGACTACATCCTGGCAGATAGCACTCTGGTATCATTGGAGCTGGTGGAAGCCCAGGTCATGCCAGAAGTGAGGGGCTCAGACCACTGTCCTGTACAAGCAATGCTGAAAAGTGTCTGCCTGGCTGCTCCCTGCTGTCCACCCCTCTGCACCCGGTTTTTACCTGAGTTTGCCGGTACCCAGCAGAAGCTCAGCCGCTTCCTGGTGAAAGTGGATCGGACTGGCTTGCCAGAGAAGGACCAGAAGCAAAGAGAGGCCAAGCCCCTCTATGGGAGGAGCTCCAAGAAGGCACGGACTGGCCCGCTGCAAAAGGGACAAGGGGATTTGCGCAGGTTCTTCAAAGCTGGAAGCCTCAGGGACAGTGATGGTGCCGGGTGCCAAGCATTCATGCATAGGGCAGCAGAAAGGAATTCTGCGAAAGGAACAGTCAGTACAGAAAGGCCAGTTAACAAATGCAGGTCAGAGAAAGTTGCTGGCATGAGTGAGGAACATCTGAGGAGTTTGGGAAAGGAGCCTGCTGCGGGTCTGATCAGTGGGGAAGCTACGAACAGTGGTGAAGGTGTGGTTCCTTCCAGGTCAAAGCAGTCTGCTTCCCTATGGAAAACCCTTTTGTCAGGTCCTGCTAAGCCACCTCAGTGCAAGGCCCATGGAGAGCCCTGTGTCCTGCGGACGGTGAAGAAACAAGGGCCGAACTGTGGGCGACGTTTTTATGTCTGTGCCCAGCCTTTGGGGAAGCCCTCTGATCCCCGTGCCCGCTGCAACTTCTTCCTGTGGGCCGATCAGGGGAATCCATGAATTGAAAGGTGAGCAGTACTGAGAGGGTTTTCCAGGAAGCATTCCAAAGAAGCATCTGACTGGGGCAGGTTGGGCTTGCAGGAGGTCTACATCCTTGAGGAAGAGGGAGCCATCGCCTGTGACTTAGAAAGGCTTAGGCTCAAGGCTAGATGCTCAGGAATGCTCTGGCCAGGAACTTCTATGGGCTTCTCCTCAAAGTGAGCCTGTGGAAACTCAGCATAGACCAGCAGCTTACATCCTCCCCAGATCACTGGGGATGGTGGAAACTGTATCCCAGCAGGTCTGGAGGGTGCCAGGGTGAGGAAGGCTGGTCTACAATTTTGCTAAGCTCTTTTGGTGGGGGTGCCAGCAGACTCCTTGGGAATGTAGATGCAGACTGCTCTGACTTGCCGCAAACAAGTGAAATGATACTGATCTCTCAAGGGCTGCAGACTTTCTGGTGTCTACAGAAGTGCAGCAGTGCCAGTCAGCTGTGGGCTCCCATTGCCTTAGGTGCAAAGATTCTGGGGCAGTTTGCTTTTCTCCTCATTTTCTACCTACATGCCCCAGCTTTACCCAAATATATTTCAACCTTACTGCTAGCAAACGGGCTCTCCTTTGGAAAAAGAATCCTTTCTACTTTTTGATAAATAAAGGGGTTTTTAAAGATGTCTTCAACACATTCTCTTCTAGAAGTAAAAAGTAGGATGCCTTGGGCAGTATCCAATATGCGCTTGTGGAAACCAGGATGTATGGCATGGGAAGCTGATGGATTCCAAAGCAAATGGAAATAAGTGGGAAAGCTCATTTCCACAATATGGCAGGTCTGCAGAGCTTGCAGAATGGAGCTTCAGTGACTTGCCTCTGGCAGGAAAAGAGTGTTTTCAGGAGTGCCTTAGTGATTCCTCTTGGCACAGCAGAACAAATGGAAGCATATTGGAGTACCCGAAATTCCAAACAGGAGTTAGACTGGGGAGCCCCATCCCATCTTACCTACTTTAATTGTGGGAACCGGGAACGTTTTGATACAGCACAAGCTGTGTCGTGTGCCTCAGCTGAGTGGCTGACAGAGATTAGATCAGAGATTAAGCTCTGTCACTTGACAGAGATAGCTTGTTAGTGCCCATGCAAGAATGTCATTGGACAGGAAGGTGCAGCCAGCATTTCTCCATGGGAAATGCATGAGGAAGGTTGCTTCCTAGTGTCTTGTGACTTTCAAGAATGGCATCCCTCCAAAGGGATTCACTTGGAGTTGGATGAACAATGGAGCTGCCTGCTTACCATCCCTGGTAGCATTAGCTATCTGCACTTTAGTGCTTAGGTCTGGTGATGGATCAGCAGGAGTATGTGGAAGTTATTGAACAGAACCATCAATGAAAGGGGGTGGTTTTTCCCTTCAGAAATAAATTGCCAAAAGGAAGAAAGGTTAGGATTTGTAGGTGAAGGAAGCATGAGTTCGGTTTTGGTACTGACAATATCAGGTGGAACTGTTAAGCCTGTGGGACTCTTTCACTTCCTCATGCCAGCTTTAGATCGATCTGGCCTACTTCTTTGTGCATCCCACATGCAGCTGCCTTGATGCACATCCCAGTAGTCATCCTTTCCTATGCTGTGGTGTATCTGTGTTTCTACATGTTGCTTGTGTGCCAGCTCATGCTCAATATGGGCATGCAAGAGGTTGCCATCTGAAGGGGCCCTGCTAGGCCGGGGTGCCTGACATGAGCGCAGAATTTCAGGCCTGGGGTCCCCAAATGGCCGCACCCTCTTTTTCAGGCCAACAGCTGTTTGGTGGTTTCCAAGCTTTGCACTGTTTTTCCTGCAGTCTAAAAGTATGAAACATCTCTGTTACGGCAAATATTTTCATCACTCCCCTTTTGCCTCTGGCTCAGCAGCCATTTTCCTTTGGCATGTACCCCCAAGAATGCATCCAAAATTAAATCTGACTCAAAGACTACAAGAAGTTCAATACCCTTGTTCTACAAGTCAGAAGCAGTGGAAAATACAAACATAGAGATTTATTGCTGTAGAGATTTATTGCATACAGAAATCTTCCTTCCCCTTTTCTGACAGCAGAGGTGTCAAGTATACTGATGCCTTTTCCTGTCCAGTTGGAGGCATCACTCTTCCTGTGTGCTCAGGCCCCAAGCATGATGTAGCGTGGCCCCATATTGCCAAAGTAATCCCGTTCCCACTCACTCATGAGGGCAAAATGAAGTGGGCGGCGGCAGAAGTTGCATTCAGGGGAGGCTGTGACCTGCAAAGGTAGGCCCACCTCCTGCCACACTGCCAGGAGTTTCTCTGGAGAGAAATAGAAGAGGAAATAATTAAAAGTGGCATTTGCAAGGACTGGTCATGCTCTAAGCTTGCTGTGGGCTGCCGGCGAGTTGAACAGTTGGCAGCACCTGAACTTCCTGATGGCAGTACCCTTGAAGCTGCCAAAACTACAGTTTTAAAGAAGGATGAGTGGCCATGCTATAATCCGCAGGGGTGCAGGTGCCAGAGGGGATTTCACTCTGGTACTGTAGAAAAATTCAGGAGAAGTCCCCCATTTTTGGTAAGGACTTCAGGGTTGATGGGCATGCTGTCATTTATCTGGGGATGCAGAAAAGGAACTATTCTGAAAATCCCTGCTTTCATTCATAAAGAAAAGACCGCAAATTGCTAGCTCCTTAAAGTGTGTGAAATTGTTGCTAATCTGTTTGCATGTGTAGGGCAATAGCTGGAGAAAGCTCAGAAACGGTAACTGAACAAGATGCCAGTGGTCAAGCAGGCAAGGTATCAAGGCCCTGCATATAGCAGTGCATCTCTCCCTACAACTAGCAAAGCAAGAATACGTGCTGCAAAATGAAAAAAGGGAATGAACCATTCCCTTGTGCTCAAGGTCAAGCATGTGTGTTGTGGCTTTTGCCGTGGAAGCAACACTCTTTTTGCACAAGAGGGAGGTATTAGTAGGCTTAGGAGAATCTGAGACTATAAACATACAAAACATTTTTGGGGGGAATGGGAATCCTAATGGAAAGGAAAACCTCTAAAATAGCCCGAGGTTTTTGTGTTGAGCATGCTGTGCTCAGTGAGTAGCGAGGGCCAGCTGCCTGAGTTGAGTGGGGATGGGGACCTGGAAAACCAAATGTGTGCATGGAAAATGGGATGGAGTATCCTGGAGGAGAGCCCAGTAGACTGGAACACTGAATGGGTGCACTCCACACTGTAATATTTTGTTGCAGCTGCCATTTATGTTTCTCAGTTTGCATTGTAGAATTTACCTTTTCTTTCTGCCTAGATGTAGAATGTTAATTTTACTTGCTGTCACATTTTGTTCCTGCCTAGGACTCTTGAGGCCTAGCAATAGAATTAGGGGCAGAGTCTTCTCTTCAGTATGGATCTCTTATCTCAAATGATTTTTTTGAGAGAGGGCAGATGACCCCAGAACAGCTGTACATTTGAAGAACTACATCAGGCTCTACTAAAACCCTGAGGAGTTCAAGGGTTTTGGGTTTCTCTTGATTGTTCCGTGAGAATGAATTTTCCCATCACCATAGAAACAGAGTGAGTCAGACGGGTCCTCCCAGTCCATCTAGTCTGACCCCCCGGCTCCAGCCAGCTCCATTCATGACATGCCTACCATGTGCATATCTAGCCTATCCTTGAACCAGTTTGAGGCTTGCCTCTCTTCTCGTGACTTTTCCCCCTAGAATGTCCTGCCCTACATTTTTGGCTTAATGTTAAAACATAACCAGAAACAAGTCTGTGTGGAAGTGGGAATCCTAGGATCTGTGTTAGTGAAATGAGGTTCAGTACTATGTGAACAAACCTCTTGCTTCTCCTGCAAAAGAGGAAATAGGAAGCATTTGCTTCCACTCTCAACTAACTGACTTCTTGTTGTGGCCATCCCACTTTCTCTGAACAAGTCAGACTTGTAAGCCAACTTTAAGCTTTCTTGTTTGGGCAAATCAATATTAAAACTAACTCTGGTTCAGACACAATAATGCACCACACTTAATTAGAAAAGGAGCTGAGTGCTTCCAGTCTAAGTGAGGAAGAAGGGAAGAAATTTAGCAATACACATGAGCTCCTCCTCCAGTACAGTGGTTTAGGGTTAGATCCAGATGAGGACAAAAATCTCCCTGGCATACTAAAGTGAGGTCTGTTGCTTCTAAGGGTAACGTCTCCATTCAGTGACTAGATTCAACTCTTTATTGAAGCTGTACACTGAACCCAAGAGGTCTCATCCTGCTTATGGCATGACTTCTACCACAATTCCCAGAGGAGGTTTTTTGGGGCCCATTATGAACATAGATGACAGTGGATTAATTGGCATTTCATGGTAAGTGCTTTATTTGCTCTAGAAAGCTTTAAAAGTGGTGGTCGATTTATTTTATGGTTTTGCAACCCCGTCAGTGCATGTTTGTGGGAGCAATGGGAATTTTTACCCTAAGCCTCATTCATATCTATTACTTGAGGATACAGTGCCCGGTTGGCTTCCTCCAGACACGTTAGGTTGGATTCCAGCTGCCATTGGCCTTGCTAACAGGGCATGATGGGAAATGTTCAAGACACCTGGAGGGGACCAGGATGGGAAAGGCTGTTATAGAACTATGAGGTGGTGGTGATTTCACATTAAACAATTACATGAAATTGCTGATTGCTCACCCACAAAGTAGTCCATCATGGGTGGGGTGTGGTGGGGTGAAGGGGCCAGCCTCAGCAGCTCTTCACCCCGAGGCACAGTGGGGTAATTGATGGCCTGGACATAGATACTGTATTCAGACAGGAGCAAGTCACAAAGGTGGGTGTTCAGAGCCGCGTCTCCAACCTAAGTGGGGAGAACCACAAAGAACTGAGAAAATGAAGCTGAAACTTTGGTCTTTTTATTTTCCTACCTTCCCTTTGCTCCTGTAAAGCTGAACCATAATCCTGGTAAAATTAAGTGCCTTAGGTGCACTTAATTAAGTGCCCTTGAATCGAATAAAAGAAGGCTAAACATACACTTTCTTGTACTTTGCGTCATGAATGTTAATGACAGTATTTAAAAAAATGTTCATGACATACCTGTTTTCCTTCTCACAAGGGGCTCGAGCACATGATGGCCCTCTCCATTTTCCCCTCACAGCAGCTCTGTGAGGTAGGTTAGGCTGAGAGTCAAGAGCTTACCCAGGGAGCTGCATGGCTGAGTGGGGACTAGAGCCCTCATCTCCCAAACCCTAGTCCAATGCTAATCACTACACCAAACTGCCCATCAGTGTTCATAGCATATTATTTTGACTGCTTTACTCTGTTGCAGCTATGCAGAAGGCAACCGTCCCCACCACCCCAGTGCCAGAGGGACCCCTGTCCTGGACATCCATACCCGTATGGGGATGATATGGCTGGGGCAGCTGACCACAGGCAGCCCTGCGTCCATAAGCAGCTGGCGCATGTGCTTCACATTGCGCTGGTGGGCACGGCGCAGCGCCTGCCCCTCTGCACTCTTCAGGATCCGGACCGATTCCAGGGCCCCAGCCAGGACCATGGGGGGCAGGGAGGTGGTGAAGATGAAGCCAGCTGCGTAGGAGCGCACTGTGTCGATAAGGGAAGTGGTGCTGGCCACATAGCCGCCCACGCAGCCAAAAGCCTTCCCTGCAGCAGGGGGAAGGAAGAAAACGCATTTGTCAGTGAACTTCAGAGGCAAGCATATGTCTAATGTTACCTGTTTAGGATTACAACTCCTATCTGCCCCACCCAGCATGGTTAGAATGACTGGATATGTTGTCTAAATTATCTGAAGAGGTTAGAAAAGTCTGCCTTTGCCATTGTGTGCTCTCCCATCACACGCAATTCTCCCCGCAAGCAGTCCAAATTCTGTGCTGAGAAGAGCTGGATTGGGAAGCCTCTCTGTACTAAGCAAACAGTCCCAGTTGTCCCAGTTCTCACTCTGCGCAGTACTTTTTCACCTGCACTGGAAGAACGCAGGGGCACAAGCAGAGCACTAAATCTCTTTCCTGCTGCTCTAAATCTTATCGACCATCTCTGGTTTTGTACATTTCAGCACATATTTTCCAACCCCTTCTAGATGCTTCTAGTCCATTTTCCAATGGACTAGAAGCATCTTTGCAAATGCAAATGCAAAAGTTGTATGTACGAGCGGTCTTCAAAAAGTTTCCTCACTTTTATATTTTATAAATGTGTATATTTTTTGCTGATGGCGTTAAAAAGTTGGTATGACGCTGGGAAAAATGCATTGCAAAGGAAGGTGACTGTAGAAAAGTGATGTAATTCATTTTTGAAATTCTTAATAGAGTTTTTAAAAAGTGAGGAAACTTTTTGAAGAACCCTGGTATATTTGCATGCACAAAAACCCAGAAATTTGCTTTTTAAAAAACAAAAAGTTCACACCAAGTGACTTCTCCATAACAGCATCATGCTTTATGCGATTAACTCCTGCTCCTTGACCCTAATGGAGCTGTAGCAGACATCCCTGTCTACATCAGGGACTCGCACGCTTTGCTATATCTCAACATTGAGTTGAAATGTTGCTTGAGGGCCATGACTTGAGCACCTCTGGGTTACTGTGTGGTACAGGATCGAGCACCCTTTGGGAAAACTTGAGCCTCCCCTGAATACTTCTCTCTAGGATGACCCAGCATTGACATGCAGAAGCACCTACTTACAGTGTGTCATTCCTATCCTTGGGGTCTCCAGCTTGGTGTTCGTGGATGCCTCTGGTCTCTGCTGGGCTTCCTAACCCACTTAATTATATGATGATTTTAATGTATAAACACTTAAAAAAACTGGGCAGTGGACAAGTTGCAAGATGAAGGTCTGGCTTCCAGTCTGTAGCCTCCTGAGGCATTCTTTGAAGGAACAAGGGTAGAAACAGAAATGCTTGGAGGTGGTGGGGAGCATTTCAGCAGGCAAGAGGGAGGTGCTGAGCAAGCTGGGTGGGTACAGAGTGAATGAATGGCCTGTGGGAGGGGGTGTTTGGGACTGGAGTGCCTGGCCTGCAATTTCCCTGAACATCAAGTTTGTCTTCTGTGGAAAGGGCATTTTGTGGTCCTTTGTAGGGGCAAATAATGTGATTTGGCATTTAGGGCTCAGTCCTCACCTCTGTATTGAATTCAGGCTTTGGGGAGAAGTTACTTGTCTCTGAGCTCCAACAGTTTGCTTTTTTGTGAAATGGGGGTAGGAGCAAAAAACTCTGCATACAAAGAGTGAGTCTGTATTTTGGAGGTCAGAGCCCAAGTCAACTTGGTCAACTTACTTTTTTTAACCTCCTGGGTTTGTTTTCTGAGAAACCAGTTTCCTGAAGGGCCAACACCACTGTAGCAGCCATTTTATGCCTAGACAAGCCCCTCTCCGCAGTAGCCATTTTATAAAATCACACACAGCTTCCAAATGTCCAAAAGTGTCCAGAAACCCAAAATAGTTGGGCGCCTTGGTCCTATCCCATTCCATCCCATTGTAAGTCAGCCCCACTGTTCTGTGACCCTGAGAACCATCTCTCTCCCAGTTGCTTTTGCCTCCCCGGAGACTGACTTTCCCATGCTCACCCAGTGTGCCAGAGACAATGTCTATTTTGTTCATCACTCCGTCACGCTCTCCAATACCAGCTCCATGGGCCCCATAAAGTCCCACAGCATGGACCTCATCCACAAATGTGATGGCTCCATAGCGGTGTGCCACGTCACACAGTTCCTCCAGTGGGCAGATGGCACCTGTAGACAGAGAAGGCCTGTTGTGAAGAATGGCTAGCCCTATCTGGCTTTTATCTAGATGGCAAAGGACCCTGCAAGATAGCAGAGCTCTTCACTGATGATGGATCAGTCTGTTTTTGTGCATTTTGGTGTCCTGGGTGGAAAAATGGAAAAGGTGCTTTATTATTCCCAGCCTTGCTTTCCCTGCATCCAGCAGCATATCTCTGAACATTGCTTTCACCTGATCTAGATTTCTAGCCCTCCCAAGACCTTGTTTACTTACTGGTGTAGCTAGTCCTACCAGATGGGCAGGCTCTTTAGAAGATAATGTGCATGTGGGGGTCCTCCTCTTCATTCGGTTGAATTGGACCCTAGGCATGTGCCCCAAAGTCCTACCCTGATGGCACCACTGTTCCTGCTACAGGCCTCTTGCCTCCACTGTTTACAGCAGTCCCTATTTCATGCTCTCTTCCATGAACTTCTTGATGGACGGCTTTCTGTGGCTTGCCTAGGCCATAATTTATCCTGTGGCCACCCACACTTGTCAGCCACCCTGCAGTCATGCTGTTGGGAGTCTTTGTCTCATATTTGGCCCTGTAGCAGCCTGTTTCCATGTTTACTAGGACAGGGATGGGGAGTCAGGCCCAGGAGCCAAATTTAGCCCTCTGATATTCCCTAGAAGGTCCTGCTCCCTTTCCCTGGCCTCATCCTCTTTCCCACTACCATTCTTTGGAGGTCTCCCAGCTTTTGTGCACCCTCCTCCCCATTCTAAATGATTGAAATGCCTTCCCCAAGCCTTAGTTGCTTGGCAATATGAGCTTTAAGCCAAACTAGGCTAGTACTTTTGCCTTTGTCCCAGCTCTCCATGGGAAAGCCAGTTGCGAAAGCTTCTTCAAAATGGAATTTGACTCTCAGGCAGAATGAGGGTTCCCACCCCTGTGCTAAAGGGCACCATCTCTGATGCAGGATGGGATTGCATGAAGAGGGAAGAGCGAGGACTGCAAGACACGTGGGTTGTCCATTACCATCCATGGAGTGCACAGTCTCAAAGGCAACGATCTTTGGGGTGCTGGGCTTGGCTTTGCTCAGAAGCTCCTCCAGGTGTTTGGGGTCATTGTGTCGGAAGACGTACTTAGGCACACCGCTGTTGCGGATGCCCTGGATCATGGAGGCATGGTTCCCTGCATCCGAGTAGATCTCACACCCTGCAAGAAAGAAAGGCGCCTCAGAGCAGTGCTGTCTAACTTTCCTAGGCTTGGTCCTGAGATCTCAAGTCAATGCTTGTTACCTGGCAGCATGCGGGCCAGAGTGAAGAGGGTGGAGTCGTTGGCCACGAAGCATGAGGAGAAAAGCAGGGCAGCGTCTTTGCTGTGCAAGCTAGCCAGCTCTTTCTCCAGATCCACATGGAACTTGCTGGTGCCAGAGATGTTCCTGGTGCCCCCGGCTCCTGCTCCATAAAGCTGCAGCGTATCCCTGGGGAGAAGAAGCGAATCACATTTCCTCCCTCAAGGAGTTGAACTCCAAACCGTGTCACTCCAGATGATAGACAAAAGGGAGGAGCTCCCTGACAAGATCTCTTGTCTTATTTACACTGGGTGTGTGTTTGAGCGGGTGTTAATTTGGATTGGAACCACGGTGGGCTAGCCTTTCTCCTGTGGGTCATTATTGCAAGTAGAACCTCTCCTTGCCAGCCTTGGAAATGTAAGCTTGCCCTAATGGCACAAATTGACAGGTACTGCTACATAGTCAAATGAGCTAAATATAATGCAATTGTCATTTATGCTACTTGTAAGCTGACCCAGAAACTGTGTCAAAAAGCACACTCAAATATAGTCCTATTGGGCTAGGGAAGAGAAAGGAAACAAATCTCTTATTGTGAGTTGCGAGAGGGATGAAGCTGAGAGGACAGCAGCTTGCTTCTCTAAGCCTTGCTTACCACACTGACAGCCAGTGTGGCATAGTGGTTAGAGGGGTAGTCCAGGGTTCTAGTCTCTGCTCAGCCATGAAGCTCACTCCATGATTTTGGGCCAGTCATTGACTCTCACCCTCACCCATCACACAGCGTTGTTGTGAAGATAAAATGAAAAGGCTCAGACAGGAGGACTTAGGCAAGCTGCCTTGGCTTCTTTGTAAGAAGAAAAATGTGGGATATAGAGTTTATAATAAAGAAAGGACAGGTTGAGGGAGACTTGAATGTTTTCACTGTCAGTCTAACACAATGATGGTGTCTAAAAGCTATGGCATTGAGTTTCAAGGCAATGCTTACAGGTTGTTGCAAGTAGATAGAGGCTCAGCTTTAAACATTAGGACCAGGCTAGGAATATCTGAGGCAGCTCTGCAGAAGCTCAGGCAGGGTCCCAATTTAGCCAAACAGGATTCCACATCCCTTGCACATGTTAAGTAGTTTCCTGGCTTGGGGGCAGTTCCCCATCCCCTCCCAATTCTAAAAGCTTGAAGTAGTTCTCCTACAGTTCAGATACTGACAGCTGCAAATTTAAGTTAAAATGGGCAGATATTTTGGCCCAGTCCCATTAGCCCCACCACTCCCTGGCATGTGGCTCTCCAGCTCCTCTGAGAGGGACTGTGTCAGAGGTGACCATGTGCTGCCACTCACTTGATGGCCTGCAACACTTGGGGGTGGCGACTCATTCCCAGGTAGTCATTGCTGCACCAGACAGACACCTCCCGTGATCCAGCCTGGGAGCAAGAATAGTCCTCCGCAAAAGGGTAGGCTTCAGCCCGACGGTTCACTGTCTTGAAAACCCGGTAGGTGTGATCTTGCTTCTTTGCCTGGATCTTGCCCTCAAAGAACTTGTCATAGTCAAAGGTGGTGCTTCCTGTGAGGAGACCAGAGAAGGCTGCTTTACATCTGTCATGCCCCTTGCTCGGCTTTCTCTGCAGCTGCAGAATGACAGCAGGTGGGAGTATATGATGGTGTTGACTTGAACAGTGGGACTGGGAGGAGGCAAGCAGGAGGGTGAGTGGGTGGACTTGAGGGCAAGGCTTTGCTTGGCCATGGGGAGGAGCCTTTTCAATACTAGATAGGCTAGGGTGGAGCCTGATAGTTTGGAACAGGTAAGGGGCAAAGCCTGGCATACAATAGGCAAGAGTTGCAGAGGTTTTAGTAAGCCAAGAAGGGCACAAGGCCCCAGCATAACTGCTTTGGGGGTCCCAGAGGCCTCTAAAAGAAGAAGAACAAAAGGTATGATATGATGGATGACAACCTTTGGGGCGGGCAATTCCACCTGGTCTTCTGAGTGCAATTCCACTGAGTGCAACCCAAGCATTAAAGCAACCACTATACACAGAAACAGAATGGAATTGCCTGCTCTTGGGGCAAGCTGCCTTTTGCATCGCTACAGGAACAGCTGCTCCAGGTTTGCCTCCTTTCAGTCAAAAGTTATGTGTGAAACAGCAATGACCCAGGAGCAGATGAGCTCCTGTGAGATCAGGTGAGCCTTACCTTTACACCAGCTTATAAGTAAGCCTATAATGGTGAATTGTGCCTCTGGTTTTAATTCATACAAAAGAAAACACATCTCAGTTATGAGATGTTTGGGACCCTTAAAATGTAATTCTGTCCATACTGAGCTAGGAACAAAGTCCTACAACTCGCAGCATGGCTGGGAAGTGCCAGAAGCTGTAGGGTTTTTTCTGTCTAAACATGCAATAGGTCTGTGCTCCTAATTGCCAGCCCTGACCTACAGGGACATGTGGGTGCTGCCCCACACAGGGTTCCCCTGCTAGAATAGCTACTGGGATCCTCCCCATTCACTGACCTGGCATGTTGTCCTGGATGAGGTGTGAAACTTGGTCAGAGTCGAGCAACTTCTTCTTGAGGCTGGACTGCATCTCTCTGAACAGAGAAGTCAGCACCCCTGGAGGGAGGGGCAAAGACATCAAAGAAAGGGATGAGTGAGGGAGCTTCCCCCTTGCCCTCACTAGCTAAGTGCTACAGGCCCTGCTCCTTACCGGATTTGAAAGTCCTGACGTCCTCCTGGACCTCCAGTTTTGCTTTTTGCACAAAAGAACTCTGTCCACTTTGGCGCTCTGACTCCATGAAAGGGCAGTGAGTGGTGGGGAAAGCCACAGGTACAGCCTGAGTAGTTCCTAGAGGGCAGGAGGAACAAGGGGGAATATTTGTGATTTCTCTCATGCAAGTCTTGGGCACTATTGCAGGGATGGGAACATGTGCCCCTGTAGATGCTGTTAGACTGCCAATCCCATCTGCTCTAAGCAGTAGAAAAGGATGATGGGTGTTGGTATGCCAGTAGCACCTCAAGGACCGTACATTTCCCTTCTCCAACCTCTCACATTGGTCCTATAGCTTTAGTCAAGCTGGTCACAGAAAGCTGCCTGACACCAGGTCAGACTATTTCTCCAACTAGCCTATTCCAAGGGTGTTGCACTCTGTTGGAAAGGGCCAAATTCTATTACAGATAAGTTCTTGGTGGACGAGTCTAAAAGCAAAAGGAGTGGGACCAAAATAGCAGATGTTAGCTTAAAGATCTTACTGCCAAGAACTGAGCCTTAGGAGAAGCATTTGAACCTTTAGGAAAGGGGGAAACATGGCACAAAAGCCCAGTAATTGGTGCTTGGGGAAAGGATATTGGCCCAGTTTGTCCCCAGGTCTGAGTTTTGCATACCTGGTCTACTCAGGCTGGCTCTGGGTTTTCAGTAGCTCAAGCAGAAAGAACTCTTCCCTACCACCTACTAAGTGATTATTTTAATGGTTGATACCATAGACCAGTCTTCTCCAACCTGGTGGCCTTCAGAAGCATTTGGACCACAACTCCCATAATTTCCATCCAGCAGGGCCATTGACTGGGAATTTTGTGTATTGCAGTCCGAATGTGTCTGGAAGGCACAACGTTGGGGAAGGCTGCAAGACCATCTATAGGCAAAGCACATTTTGAACCACAGAAGCTCTGGTCCCTCATGTCTAGAGGCCACCCACCCAGCCACCATTGTTTTCAGATTCGTCACCTCCTTCTGTTGCTCAGCAGGTTTCATTCATATCTGAGCCATCTCTCAGTGCCAGAGTACTTTTGTTAATGACAGACGTCATGACTCGCCTCATGCCAAAGGTAATGAACTTGTGCCTGGCCTGGACCACTTCAGACAATAGATGGGGGGCTCACGTGATGGAACACTTGCTCCTGACCAAAAAAAAAAAAATCTTCCACATGGAAAACTAGGTGTCAGGGCAAGGGTTCTAGTCTAGAATTGTCTCTGGCATGCTAGTGTGTGTGGTGGTGGTGGGGGGGGGGGGGAACTGTTGTATCAAAAAGCATTCAATTATGGAGGCCCCCATCTGCAGTCTGAAGTGGTACAATTCAGACAAGTAATACCACCTCATTGAGAAATAATCATTACTCAGTATTAATCAAAATCCCTCAGTTCTTAGAACTACTGTTTCACACTTTGGCAGGGATATCACCTGTTTGAAAGTTACGGCACAGAAAAAAATTTGCCTGATGGTCAGAAACAATCAGGTCACTGACATGGACTCTGGCATGCCCTGATATGATAATTTCTTATACACAACATTATTTTTTGGCACAGAGGCATTCAAACATGCAATTTTGTTTCCCACATCTACATCTGAAATATTTCAAAGTCACAGTATTTATCAGCATGTATAGATCCATTCCCATCAGGATCATTGAGGCAATAAGATGTCTTTGAGCATTTGCAGAATGGCTTTTAATCACAAATGAGTACCTGCAGTCTGCTAGATTTTATCTGAAGCTTCTGGGTCTAATGGTAGGCCTTGTACCACCCATCTCTCTCTCTCTCTCTCTCTCTCTCTCTCTCTCTCTCTCTCTCTCTCTAAAGAAAGAAAGAAAGAAAGAAAGAAAGAAAGAAAGAAAGAAAGAAAGAAATAACCATTTAAATAGACTTGGCAGCATTTCAGTCTCCAGACCCCAATCCTTTTCCTGCTAATATTAAGCACTGGTTTTCCACCTTCCTTTTTTAATGGGGTTGAGAGATGGAATTGACTGTCAAAATGTATTGACTGCACAAGTGCACCCTGTCTGTTGAAGCAACATTTGTAGCTTCATGACTAGGGATGTTGGTGAGTGGGGAGCAGCCACTGCTAGCTCCAGGTTTTGGGGCAAGATACCCTCACTCAGCTCCCTTCCTCAGTGAGTCTACCTTCTCACCCTCATTGTCATCAGCTGCTATTGCTCCTTCTCTTTCACTATAATTCCTTTTGCTTGCTCAAGTAGCAGAGGCCCGTGAACAGGTAGGCAGAGGCATCTCCTCCTCCTCCTCCTCTCCACTGGTGGGCCAGAAAGAAAAGCAGGCAAACAAGCAACTTGCCATCATGAAGAGGAAGCGTAAGTCCAGGGGGCTTTTGTCAATGGGTCTCTCCCAGCTTGTGGGGCAGCATCTACACACTTTCTTTCCCCTCATAATATCCAGAGCTCTTGTCCCGCAGCTCCATCCACAACTCACCAGTATCTCCACAGGTCTCCTTCCCTTGCTGAAAGTCATCAGCCGAACTGGAGAAGGTGCGGGACACCAATACAGGGCAGCGCTGGGCATTGCTGGCCAGCAGGGGGCGCAATTTGCCCAGGATGGTGGCTGGGTCCCGAGCTAGGAAAGGGCAGCACTGGAGGATTGAGGCCATGGTTCCAAGGTCTGGTGCTGCTCAGAGAAAAAGAGAAGTGAGGGGTGAAAGGCAGAGTCATTCCAGCAGGGTCTCATCTCAGGCTACCGGCATTGCTCTTTAGTAACAGGATGGAATCAATACCGACTGTGTAACTCTTAAACAAAACCAAGGTAAGCCATGTTGGCGACATACAGGTATGTGAGGGGATGTCACACGGAGGTGGGTAGAGACCTGTTCTCTCCTGCAGAGGAAGGCAGGACGTGCTCCAACGGAGCAAAGCTCAGGGAGCCAAGGTTCCATTTGGATGCCAGGAAGCACTTCCTGACAGTCAGGACCCCGAGGGTGTGGAATGGGCTTCCACGGGAGGTCGTTGAGGCCCCATTGGTGTGGGTGTTCAAGGATAGGCTGGACGTCCACATGGTGGGCATGTCGTGAGTGGAGCCGGCTGGTGCCGGAGGTCAGACTAGATGGCCCGGGAGACCCCTTCTGACTCGCTCTGTTTCTATGTCTATGTTTCTATGCTAGTACAAGGAGAAAAGGCTCCATAGCTGTGGTGGGGGGACCAAAAACCACTTTTGTGGCTCATCACCACTTCTTGTGACACATCTGAGAAGGAATGTTTTTCCTGGGTTGGAAAGACCACCTCCTAGTTTGGGGAAGGAAGCTGGCATTGGTAGGAAGAAGCTGTACAAATGTATGGCTTATATATTGATTGAGAAGTTAGCTGGAACCGAATTCAGCTCTTTGCCTCAAGGAGCCCCAAGAGCCCTCATTCTTGCTACTGGGAGAAGCCGGCAGACCAGCTGCTGCAATACAGGGCACAGACTTCGTGTCCCTTTGCAAATTTTGCAGAAGAGCTAGTTTTGTCAGGTGCGGCCTATTCCAGCCCTGCAACTCTGCAACAACCCAAACACAAGTGAGGAGGCAGACAGTGCCATGAAATGGAGCAAGCTGGCCTGGTCCTCTGTCCTTCATAAAGGTGTGATTGGCAAGACTTAGCAGGTGATACACTCAGGAAGAGGTGGGCAAAATATGCTGCTTGAGGGTAGGGCCAGCCCTGCCTGCATAGTAGATTGGTCTGGTTTGATGGCTCAGTTGAAGTGGCTTGGGAACCAATTCAGAACCAGGAAGATGGATCCTTTTCACATCTGGCCACTGAGAGATAGTTGGACAAGCACTTTCTTTTATTATTTATTTATTTAGAAGGCTTCTGTGCTGCCCCATTTGCCGAAGCCTCGGGGCAGCTCACAACAATAAATAAATAAATAAGGACAGTATAAAACAATATAATATGAGTCGACCTGGCCTGAAAAATAAAATAATTAAATAATATTAACAATTAAAATAGCGTTTGAATAAAAAGGTCTTTGCCTGGCACCGAAAAACAAGCTTCAGAACATCTCTGCCAACAAACAGCAGGGATCACTATAGATGTGGTATTTTGCTCAGCCCCAGGACAAAGGGAAGGAAGTCCAGGCAAAAATTGGCATGGAAGTGGCGTTTTTGGAATGGGGTGCTCTGATAATTTCACTGGGGTGTGTGCTTGTCTGTGTAGAGAACCTCTGACCTGGACGCATGAGCTAGAAAGAAAAAAGTTGGCATCTTATTTGCACAAGAACAAGCGTGGACCTGGGAGAACAATAGCTTTGGGTAAAGAGGCAAATATTGCTGATGATCTTATGAATAATGATAATCAGAATGGAAATTATGCTGGGAATCATTTTTAATCCAGAGGAAAATAGGTATTAGTAAAAGGGGTTTTGTAGCAAGTGAAACTCTAACCGTGGATCACCATGTTTGTTTTAGATTGTTTGTAAAGGCTGTGCCCACTTTAGTTATAAGAATTGTAAGCTATTCAGGCCTGAGTCAAGGATGGGGTCTCATTTGAAGGGTGTGTGTGTGAAACAAAGAGAGAGAGAGTTTTCAGTTTGTTTTCTGTGAAAGGATACTAATATCTGTCATTATGAATGCCCTAAAGTGATTCTGGGGACTCCATTCCTCTTTCATGGAATTTTATGGGGTGGGTGTCCAGATGACATTATTTTCAACACTCTCCATGTTTTCCCATTGCTGCTTCTGTCTTTTACCTTACTGCAGATAATTAGTTCAGAAAAGATGGAACAGCTGCATGGTGCCTTCTGTGTGGTAGCACTAAGCTTCTCCTTTCTCAAAGGCCCATTGGATGGGAGTCTAGGGTTTGGTGCAGTCTAAATCTTATACATATCCACTCAGAAGTAAGCCCCATTGAGTTCAATGGGGGTATAGGATTGAGCTGTTGTTTTGGTGGTTGTCTGAGGGTATGGGGAGCCTGGGGATAAGAGTTTCACCCAGCTTATATGCAATATATAAGATGGAGGAGGAGATTGATGTAAGCTGCCTTGAGCCCTTTGTAGGAAAAAGGCAGGATATAAATCCAAAAATATAAATAAATAGAGCAGTTTTTGCAGTGGGAATTGGGATGGGGGGCGGGGGAAGAGAAGCAAGATGAACTTCCAGCACACAACTGAGTTCAGACAGCATGATAACCCACTCTCAAGGACAATGTGGGTTGTCATTGAATGGTGGGATCTTGCTGAAGTGCGGTTTCCTGTATCTCTGAATGCAGTGGAAATGGCAAATGATGAACAATCAAGCAGCCAGTCGTGGTTTCTTTTCATGGGTTGTTTATTTATTATATTTATATCCCACTTTTTCTTTTTAAAGAACTCAAATCTGCTTACATCATTTTCCTCCTCCTGCTCTCAATCTTATCCCCACAACAACAGCCCTTTGAAATAGGTTGGGATTAGAGTCTGTGACTGGCCCAAAGTCAGCTAGTTTGCTCCATGGTTGAGCAGGGACTAGAACCCAGATTGCCTAAGTCCCAGTCCTGAGTCCCATAATCACTACACCATGGCTTATTGGCAAAGCTCAGTTTTGACAATATAATAACTCACACTTCAACAACCAGCCATGAGTCAGTGACAACCCATACTCAACCCATAATCAGTCCTTGGGTATAGGCTACCACGTTGTCTGAACTCAGTCACAGCCATGAGAAAAATCAAACATTCTGTCAGTGTAATACTTTTATTAGGTCAACCATAAAGTCACAAACAATGTACAGATGTCATAACGTGTTCATATCCAGATCTTTCCAGCAGGCAAGATGTTGCCAGAAGCAAGTGGGACGAGGGGGAATGAACGCTACTTGGCTTGATGTTAGAATTCATGGTGACTGAGATGGAGTACGAGTGGAGGGATCCGCAAACATTCAAATGGTGTTTTATCAGGTGGTGTGATGCTTTCAGTTTTCATCAGTGGCTGCTGCTCCCCACTTCCATCTTGCTTTTCACACCATTTTGCCTTATGAGGAGATCTGGCGTTTAAGCCATCAAAAGCTTGCGTACATGTTAGGAGCTGTTTCGGAAGGCCTAAGACTGGCATTACACTCATGTAGCTGTAGTTGGGCTGCAGAAGTTATTCTCTGGAGGCATCTTCTGCCTTCAGTGGCTGTAGCCATTTGGCTTCACTTATTCTCTCTGTATGCTTATAAATGAAGCAAAGATTGCAAAGATGTCCTAAAGAGAGAGCTGGTGTGCTATAGTGGACTGAGGCTTTGGAGCCCTGGGTCTGAGTTCCTATTCAGCCATGAAGCTCACTGGGTGCTTCTGTGCCAGTCACTGACTCATAGCCTACTCTATCTCACAGGATTGTTGCTGTGAGCATAAAATGGAGAGGAGGGGGATTACAACAGGATATCAATTTAGTAGCCACAATAGTAATAATCAGCTGTGCACTGTCATGCAAAAGAAACTAAATCTGCTAATGCTACACCTACAATGTCTTACTGTTGGTGGGAAGCAGGGAGGGTGCAACAGGGCTTAAATGGCTATAAGCCCAAGAGAGGGGGAGTGTCACAGTTACTCTGGATTAATTCATCTGGGATAAAAAGGTATAACTTAGATAGGCCAGCCTATCTCAGCCTGGTGTCCTCCAGATGTTTTGGATATGGCTTCATGTTAAGTGTCCACACTGGCTGGTGCTGATGGGAACTGGGAGACTAAAAGTCATAAGCTTTTTTAGGGCACAGTCCTATTTATTGTTTGATGGGAAAGAAAGTTCTACCATCCCCAGCATTCCCTAGTCACCATAGCTGGGAATTGTAGGACTTTTTTTCCATCTAAACATGCATGGGATGGCACCCTTCATTTATTTCTAAATTTGTTTAAAATAATTTTGTGCCATCTTTAAGAGCAGAAGCCTCTCAGGTTGGGGAGGACTAAAGAATTTGTCCCAAGAGAATTAAAAAAATTGGGGTGATGCTTCATTTGCCATGGAGCAAAGACATAGGAAGGGTGTACAAGTATGCTGGGATGTGATAACTCCCTCTGAGTTTATCTGGCTTGGAGAAGCCATGCCCTCACCCAGCCAGGGAGATTAAAATGAAACAGTACAATATGAAGGGCTGGCTCTTGCCCCTTCAGGGTTGCATGCAGAAGATTAGCCTAGTTTCTTGGAAAGTAGAGCTGGCAGCCCATCTCCTACTCCTTTGCTCCTTGATGTGGAGCCAGATTGGAAAATGCACCCCAAAGGGAAGATTTGCTCAGCTCTTGGTGCCATTTCAAATTAAAGGAGTCAGTAATACTTAATAAGACTGACCCTTATCCCAAATTAGTGAAGCATAAGTCTTGTTTTATATAATTTCAGTGTGCGTTAAGAAACTTAGCTAAGAAAGTTCTAGTCTTTACATCTACAGCAGGATTGACATCAGGGTTGTCTGTGTGCATGTGCGTATAAATTCAATAAAAATTAGATATTTATTATATTAAGCAGTATACAAATGTTAATAATACATAAATAAAGGCTGCAATGGGATCAGTACAGATCTCCACAGAGACAAACCAGAACAACGGATCAGGAGAATCAGGCAAAGCAGCTTTTGCTGAGCTGTGGGGGAATTGCATATTTCCCCATTAAAAACATCTCCCTACTTGTCAGCGTCTTTTTCATATAATTGGAGGAACAAGAAGGCTGCCACCATCTTTTCAACTAGCTGCAGCAGCAGTGCCCTTGACAGCAAGTGAATGTACAGATGTCACCCAAAGATAATGTTTATCTCCGTCTTGTGAGAAACATCACCTACTGACTTGTAGGCACTGCACTTCTCTTAAAGGCCAGAATGGCGCAGTCTCCGTCACCCACTCACCCTCACTGGGCAATCCTAGCAAGAATTCATGCAGAATTCCCTCTCTTGCTGTCTGCACTGGTCCAGTGAATTCAAAGCTGTCACACGTGCTTCTGAGTTTGAGTAGCACCAGCAAGCTACCACAGCAAAATGAACAATTCAAAATTAAGGCAGACTATCACTGAGCCTAACATCCTTGACAAGTTAGAAAATGGCATAAAACACAATGTAGGAGAGAAATAAAGGCACGAATAAATGGAGAGGCAGTGTGGTATAGTGGTTAAGAGCATGGGTCTGGGACTCAAGGGATCTGGGTTCCAGTTCCTGCTCAGCCAGCTGGGTGACTTTTGGCCAGTGACAGACTCTCAGCCCAACCTACCTCATGGGGGTTGTTGTGGGGATAAGATGGAGTGCAAGAGGACGAGAATGATGTTAGCTGCTTTGAGATTATAAGAAAAAAGATATAAATCTCATATAAATAAATAGTCCTTTCTACAAGACTTGAAGAAATCTTGTAGGACAATTTGCAAGCACCTTTACATACAAAATCTCAACCTACGAGTAAATGTAAAACAACTTTTCTTTTCAAAGAACCATTGTTTGTGCCTAGTATAAGAGATGAAGGCAGTAGGAATAAAGGAAGGAATTGTCCATAGGCACACTGCTGGTAATTAGAATGGAGAGCAGGTGGGAGAGAATATTAAAATAAAAGCTAGAGTGCATCCTATCAAAAGTCATTTAAAACAGATACATTCCACCATCCACAGCTCTTCTGCCTGACACTGTGCCCTGCTGTGGATCCCAGCATTTTTAATTAAAAGGCTCTAGTGCATGGCAGCAAACCGGCAACATACATGCACTGTAAGATGCATTGAGATTAAGTGCCAAACTATGCATTACAAAGTAGTTTCACCTAACAAGAGCCTGATTCTTCTGTTTTACTTAAAAGACTCTACTCAAAGTTGTGATGCAAAGAGGAGGAAAGGCAGATGGGAACCCTTAAGGGAACCCCAACCTGTTCTGGGCTGGTGGGCACCTCTGAAACTTTGAAACTCTTGTATGTTCTGTCACAAAATGGCTGCTGTGATGGGTGTGGCCAGTCCGGCCCCCAGAAGGCAAACTGATGAGGTTAAAAGAAAAATATCTTGGGAAGAAGCTAAGCACAAAGCACAGGGGGGATCCATGGTCCAAAACACAAAATTGCTCTTTTGAATCCACCATTTTCTGCTTCTGTTTCATAGAAAGCAAATAAATAAAGGCCAGGGACAAATAACTTGGAGAAATAAATCCACACAAGGCAGTCAAGTGGTTTAAGCTCCAAATGCCAAATTACATACTTGCCTCCACAAAGCACGGCAAAAAACCCCAAGTAATTTCACAAAAATACTCATTTCATTGATGATGCTAGGAGAAACAGCCCTCATATCCCATGAGAACGTGCATACATCCCCACAGAAACTAAGCCATAAATATGTATACATGCCCCCAAAATCAGGCATCACCTCAAAAGCCCATATTACTGTCCCATGCAAACTATACACTGCATAGTCTTTTCTCTTTCTAAGAGTCATTGGGATGCCATCCCTCCCTGTTTTGGCATCCCTCCCAAATACAAAGGATGTATTTGTATTCTTTAAAATAAAACTGGTTTATATGACAGCACCCTGCCAGTTCAATTTTTAAAACTTTTTAAAAAATCTGGAATATCAGGCAGGGGCAGGAAACCTCACAGGAAACCGAGGGGTCCCCAAATTGGTGACCATGGGCAACACATTGGGAATCTCAGTGCCCCCCGGTTACTTTTTTGTTCAAAACTGCCTTCTTGCCTCTTCTTTTTCATTTACATAAGCAAATCTGCAAATACTCTTTTCTCCAGGGGTTGAAAAAGCAGGTAGTGTGCAATTTGCGGTGGGAAAATGGCTGACTGGAGGAAGGATGAAGGTGTGCAGCCACCAACTTCTCTTCCGATCATCAGGGGCTGCTGTAACTGCTTTTCATTACCAAAAAGAAAAAGAGAAAAGCTGGGAGACAATGGAAATGGCTCTGCTACAGAATGTCTAGTTTGTCCCTAAGGGAGAACATGCTGTTAATTAAAACAGCAAACCAAGCTAGAACCGATCAGCAGTGAAAGTCTCTTTTTTAAGTCATTGGTTAGTACTTTTTGAGGACTACTTCTCAGGAAAGAGGGGTAAGCCCATGAAAGTCACCAGCTTTCATCTCCTATTTCTAGTTCTCTCTTTCATAGCTGCTTTCTTATTCTACGTCTGGTACCTGATTCCAAACATGGTGCTTTTGCAAAGCTTCCTCTGTTGACTTCTGGACGTTAAAACCTAACAGGAGCAGGCCAGGATAGTTTTCTAGCTTGTTGCCCAGTTCTGTACTTCCTAGTCATGGCTCCTCAGTCATTATGTTGGCAACTGGAGAAGGGGGACAGACCACAGTTCCTTGGGGGGTGGACTGTGGCAGAGGGTCCTCCACTTGCTGATCCTTAATTTGGTGGCGGGAGAGGAGAGGAGATTAGCCTTACTGGGAAGAATGAATAACGAAAGAGTGACTTGCAAAGAGATGGACAGCTATCCATTTTTAGTGGGAGAAAGGAGAGAAAATAAGGACCCCAAAGCTGCCCTTCCCCACAGAAATGAGCCCATTGATCCTACCTGTTGACCTGCACTGAAGTCGAACAACTTCTGTGCTTTATAGCTTAGTTTTTAGCCCATTTGGAGCTGCTGCTCCCCACCCACCAGCTGAAGGCATAGATAAGGCAAGTTTAGGGCAGAAGAACATACGCACGCAGTAGATCTGCGTGGCAGGTTCAGAACTACGTTGCATAGTGAAACTTCACCATGATGGTCTGTGGAAATGCCATGTTGTCGGGGTACAGAGAACAAGGGCAGAAACGATTACTTAACCAGAACTTATTTAATGAAAAGCAGTGGTTATGGAGTGGGATGGGGGAGGAAAGTAAAATAACATCTTGTACACTGTACAGGGTCATTTCTTCCATAAGCTAACAGTAACATCCTACATTGGCACAGAAACAATAATAACCCTGGAAGGTCTGGCTCTGTAAAATATAGTATAAACATAATGTGTTTTGATAAACACATCGTCAGCAGTGGTCCAATGTAATGTTACATTATACATTAGCCCTAATGAAGACATTAGTGTCAAAATTTGTTTGAACTGAGGTCAGTTGTGCCAGAACTGGACGAAACCCAGCAGTGGGAAACCCTGCCCTGGCCGCTCCTGTGCCTTTGTTGGAGTTCTGGTATGATTATTAAGGAACCAGTGAGGGATGCTCTCCATAACAAGCAGAGAAGCAAAGCTGTGTGCTCAGAGACAAGACAGGAGAAGTGAAGGGAGTGGAAGAAGAGTTCACTTCTGCATGCCCGCCTGCTTCTCTACTGGAATTTGCTGCCACCCCACTAGTATTTAGGGGTTTGGCTTAAGCAAGGAGCAGTATCTGATGCCATCTCTTGCCATTTGCCTTAAGGCCACCTAGTGAGGTCACAGTTATGGACCTGAGGAACCTCTCCCTCCGCATGCACCTCATCCTCTTTCTCATCATTGCTACCTCACTGACAGGCAGTGAGCCAAGTGCACATAGGCAGCGATTCCTATGGGCCTTCTTTGCACCATCTGCTTTGATGGGCCAGAGGGAAAAGCAAGTGGACAAGCTGATTGCAGTGGTGGACAGGAGAGCAACGGGGGGGGGGGGGGCATTGGCAGGTGCCCAACCAAGCCTTCCACTGATATCAGCCCCAGAGTTTTCCATATACATTTTAGCAACCAGGAAGCATCATTAGATTGAACTGAAACTGAAAGGAGGCTATTCACAAGCTGGTCTGTCTTTGGCGCTGGAGGTGCAATGCCTTTGTTCTGATAAGTGAAAGTAGCGAGGGCGCCATCTGGAGGACAAGACTGATGGTGCCTTCAAGCAGGGCTTTTTCCCCTCACTCACATTTCCCTAATCATTGCTTCACATTAGTATTTTTGTTTTATAATAAGTTTTATTCAAAACTGTTAGTCCTAAAAACAAAGAAAAACTAAAAACAACATCAATCATCAAAAACATCGAGCCTGCTGGGTCAGCTCCCACATTTTTTTCCATTTATGATAACATAGAAACATAATCTATACGAAGTCCCATTTCTCTAGCCAATAATAAAAAGAGTGCCAAGTTTGATAGAAATCAGTAACTTCTTTCTCCTTCAATGACAAAGTCAATCTATCCATTTCTGCACAGTTCAAGATCTTTTTTAGGATCAGTTCATCGGTGGGTGGTTCTTCACTTTTCCAGTGTTGAGCAAATGCAATCCTCGCCGCAGTAATTACATGTAAAATCAAGTACATTTCTTGTTTACTAATATCAGCAGGTATAATGCCTAATAAGAACATTTCAGGTTTAAAAGCTAAAGATTTTTGTAACATTTCCTCAAGCCATTTATGTATTTTAATCCAATACTTTTTCTCATTATTGCAAGTCCACCACGTATGATAGAAAATACCCAATTTATGTTTACATTTCCAACATCCATTTGACATATTTGGAAACATCTTAGCTAATCCATTTGGCGACAGATACCATCTATAAAACATTTTATATAGGTTTTCTTTATACGAAGTTGCTAATGTTACCTTAATATTTCTCTCCCAGAGCTTTTGCCATTTTTCTAATTCAATATTATATCCAAAGTTTTGTGCCCACATTATCATAGTTTCCTTAACCTGTTCATCTTCCATTGTCCTAACAAGTAAGAAATTATATAGTCTTTTAATCATTTTCTCATCTGATTTAAGCATCACCTGATCAAATGCTGTTAAGTCCTTATAAAAATCCCACGTTTTATAGTCTTTAGCATATCTCAATTGTATCTGCACCTTATGCCACCAAGAGATATTAGATCCTTGCTCTTGTGTTTCTTGATTCAATTTCAATCCTCCATCCTTATCCAAAATGTTATCATATGATCCCTTCAAAGTTCAGTGCATTTGGATATACCAAAGCTTCCATGGGTGAAAGTCATCTTGGTAATTTATTATACAATTTTGTCTTTAACTTTTCCCACACTGACATTAATGATTTTCTAATATAGTGACTTAAAAAAGAGCCATGTAGCTTAGCTTTTTCATACCACATATAAGCATGCCAGCCCATTTGCAA